CTCTCTATCCACTGAGCCAAACCAGCTAGCGCTGCACTGCATATTTTAAAAGTTGCTAAAACAGTAGATTTTGTTGTTGTTAAAACTCACCCGAGGATATTTTTTTCCTGTTGATGTGAGAGAGACGCATAGATGGGTTCCCTCCCGCACAAGCCCTGACCCAGGGCCTGGGATGGAGCCTGCAACCGAGGTGTGTGCCCTTGACCTTAACGGAGCCTGCATTGCTTCAATGCCTGGGCTGATGCTCCAACCACTGAGAAAACTGCCCGGGCCGGCAGTAGGTCTTGAAAGCCCTCATCACAGAAAAAAAGAACACCTGTTTGTAGCCATGTGTGGTGATCCGCACACATCTGCCCTGACCCTCTCCCCATTAGCCAGCTGCTATTATTTTTTAAAAGGTATTATTTTATTATTATTTTTTTTAATCCTCACCTGAGGATATTTTTCATTGGTTTTTTTTTAAATATATTTTATTGATTTTGTACAGAGAGGAAGGAGAGAGATAGAGAGTTAGAAACATCGATGAGAGAGAGTCATCGATCAGCTGCCTCTTGCACACCCCCTACTGGGATATGCCCGCAACCAAGGTACATGCCCTTGACCGGAATTGAACCCGGGACCCTTCAGTCCCCAAGCCGACGCTCTATCCACTGAGCCAAACCGGTCTCGGCTTTCATTGGTTTTTAGAGAGAGTGGAAGAGAGAGGGAGAGACAGAGAGAAACATCGATGTGAGAGAAGCACGTTGATTGGTTGCATCCTGCACTCCCCCCCCCCCTCACCTCCACCACCAGGTCCCAGACCAGGGAGGAGCCTGCAGCCCAGGTACATGCCTTCGACCAGAATGGAACCTGGGGACCCCTCGATCTGCAAACTGATGCTCTATCCACTGAGCCACACCGGCTAGGAGGAGCCAGCTGCTATGACTGAATAGAAGGACAAAGATTTCATGGGGAAGGAGGCAAAAGGAACAGGGTATTATGGAGACAGAACTTTCGGACCGGAACCCGGATTCTTTGTCCGCCGGAATGAATAATGAATCCACGGACAGAGAGTGGTATAGCAAAGGTGGAGATTTATTGAAGAACAAAGACTCCCACAGGGGGAGAGGGAAAGATTCCCATAGAACGGACTCCCCCGTGGGGAGGGGGAAGGGGTCCTGTTGAGTTCCCCCTCCCTGTGGCTTATAAAGGCTGCAGATCCTGGTGCCTGACCAACCTCTGATTGGTCACTATTCCCCTAGGCTGGTTACTATAGTAACTCAGGGGCTGAAGGTCTAACCTCACAGGGCACGTGTGAGGTCTCCCCATCCCCCTCCCCTCCTTATTGTTTTCCTGTCCCTTTGGGCTTTCTTCTTCTGAATGGAGGGCTTCCTTCCCTTTATTTTGTAAACATAGACCTTCTGCTGCTCCCAGCTCCCGCATTCTGTGGAAACACACCAGCTGTGGCTCTGCAGCCCTGTGCTCCTCCACCGTCCCCTAATTTCCAAAATTTCCAAAATTCCCTAAACCTGTCCTATCTCACCCCTAACATTGCTGTTTCGTTATGGTTGCAGATTACAGGTGATGGGGGCTGGGGGCGGCACAGGGCAGGAGCCTCTGGGTCTCCAACCAGTGTGTGCGTCTGTCTTCCCAGGATGGCAGGCAGCTCTGGGATACGGAGAACGGACTGCATTTCGAGTTAACTCCTCGGTTCCCGGGACACGACTCCTTTCTTCAGAACAAAACCATCAGGCCGTACAGAGCAGGATGGGTATTTCTCATAACCACAGCGGGTCCCCCTCTACTCTGCCTCCCTCCCGCCCTGGTAAGTCCTTAGGCCGTACGCCTGAGGAGGACACGGTGCCCTATGTCAATTAGCTTGATTTAAAAACAGAAAGAGCCCTGGCTAGTTTGGCTCAGTGGATAGAGCGTTGGCCTGCAGACTGATGGGTCCCGGGTTCGATCGGTTAAGGCCATGTACCTTGGTTGCAGGCACATCCCCAGTGAGGAGTGTGCAGGAGACAGCTGATTGATGTTTCTCTCTCATCGATGCTTCTTTATCCCTCTCCAATTTTTAAAAAAATATATTTTATTGATTTTTTCACAGAGAGGAAGGGAGAGGGATAGAGAGCCAGAAACATGGATGAGAGAGAATCATCGACCAGCTGCCTCCTGCACACCCCCCACCAGGGATGTGCCCACAACTAAGGTACATGCCCTTGACCGAATCGAACCCGGGACCCCTCAGTCCGCAGGCCGACGCTCTATCCACTGAGCCACAACAGTTTCGGCTCCCTCTCCAATTTTTAAAAATTGATTTTAAAAATCAATAAAATATATTTAAAAAAATAAAAACAGAAAGAAATGGAAATAAAGAGAAATTTCCCAGCCCGGTCGGTGTGGCTCAGTGGATGAGAATCGACCCATGAGCCCAGAGGTTCATAGGTTGAAGCTCAACCACTGAGTCACGCTGGCTGAGCTCTAAGGTCCTTTTATTGTCCAGGCAATATTCTCATGGCATACCATTGGGACTGGAGAAACCTGAATGACACGGGGTAGCCTGTAGGTGAAGCACGGGAAGGGCAGGGAAGGTGTGCACACCTGTCACCAATAAAACAGTGGACGAGTCTCTGGTCTGGCCAGAGAGACTAAGAGGGAGCTCCATGGTCAGCAAACTGCGGCTTGCAAGCCACATGCAGCTCTTTGGCCCCTTTGAGTGTGGCTCTTCCACAAAATACCACAGCCTAGGCGAGTCTATTTTGAAGAAGTGGCGTTAGAAAAAGTTTAAGTTTAAAAAATGTGGCTCTCAAAAGGAATTTCAATCGTGCTGTTGATATTTGGCTCTGTTGACTAATGAGTTTGCCGACCACTGCCTTGGCTGGTGTGGCTCAGTGGATAGAGCGCCGGCCTGCAGACTGAAGGGTCCCAGGTTCAATTCTGGCCAACGGCACATGCCCAGGTTGTGGGCTTGATCCCCAGGGGGGATGTGCAGGAGGCAGCGAATCAATAATTCACTCTCATCCTTGATGTTTCTCTCTTTCCTTTTCCCTTCCTCTCTGAAATCAATAAAGAAATATTTAAAAAAAGAAAAGAAAAGAAAGGAAGTGCCATTGATGAAAGTTAAATCAAATGGTCAGATTTTAAACTTACTCAAATTAAACTCATTGCTTGCTAAAGCTGGTTAAAAATTTCAAAAACGTTTATGCTTCCTATAAGATACAAACTTTGAGAAAAGGCTAGAAAAGTTTGAATTTCATAAAATGAAAATGTGCTCCATGAAACATTAACCACAAGTTTGCTTTGCATTTATATTGTGGACGGCAGGGATCACATGCTGACCTGACAGCTCAGGGGAGGCCCGAGTGGCGATCTTGCAAACCCAGACCTAAAGCGACCACACAGGATGGTCTGAAATGAAGCTTGAACTGGAAGCAGTTGTGGTGGGCAGTCACCTCCTAGGCCGGTGTCTTCCCTGACAAGGTCACCCTTCACCTTAACTGACCCCGCCGGCCTTTTTGCATCTAGGATAACACACCCTTGAAATGTCTGGGTGACTTGTAACTCCCCTTTTTCTGGAGCCCCTGGAGCACAACCAAATCTGGGGGGCGCCAGGACTGAGACCACAGATTCCTTCATTATCATGCTAATTGTCCCTGCACCCACCTAAGTATGTGTAACCGTAATAAGGAAAAAAATACAATATTGAATAAGTATGAAAGTGTGGAATTGAAGTGTGATATCTGAAAGTATGCAATGGAATGTAAACAAACCGATAAGCACCCTTGGGTGGCCTGTGTGTAGAAAATAGATAAAGTGACCTGTACCCCGTATGTCAGACCGGATAGCAGGGCTCCTGGGACCCGCCCATAAGACACACTGAGGACACCTCTGAGCACTGAAGACACATACAAAGAGCAAGCTCCACAGGAGATCAGCGACGCTCCCACTGCTCCTCCACAGAGGGTCCCTCTCCACGCCCCCTGCCTGCACCCCAAAGCTCTGCCCGAGCCGCGAGCCCCGAACCCTGAGCTGCACGTCCTCCGTGAGCCGTGTGTGTCTGTCAGTGCGGATCCCCGGGCGGCTGCCTAGGATTCTGGAACCCACAGGACTCTGGTGCATAAACCGTGAGTGATCCGTGCATTGCACGTCTGTCTGCTGTGTGATTTATGCTCGGTGGATTATTGATGAAGTACCTCGGGTCGTATGTGTCAGATTTCTGGCTGAGGCCCCTAGGCCCCCTGTGCACGCGTCCCCTATGGAACTATGGGGACAGTATGTGTCCATCGTTTTAGTTCGCATCCAACCCCAGGGTTTCCCCCGCCTCCCCCTGGCCCCCTTTGCTTTCTCCCTCCTCTCCAGTCTATCGCCAATGAATTTCGTGTTACCCACCGCCCTCCCTCCTTTGACTGCCATGTATGAAGACAGGTGTGACCCGCCATTCTCCGCAGCATCATCTCTATTCGTCCTGGCATGTGCTTGACAGTTTGGCTCAAATAAACTCACACAAATTCTTTGCAGGTTTCAATGTTTTGGTTTTTGTGTTGTGTTGTTGTTTTTTGTTTTTTTTTTAACATTAACTCAGGGGAAGGCCTAACCAATAAAAAAGAAGTGGAATCAGCACAGAGCTTCCTAGGCGGGTGGAGTGTGGGGTCTGTGTGAGGGCGGGGGGGGGGGGGGGGGCTGTCCAGGAGGGGAAGGGAGGGAAGGGGGTGGCTCCAGGCTGGGAAACATCCCCAGCCCAGAGCAGCCTCCAGGAGAGGCCAAGACAAGACCAGGCTTGCGTGCCAGGATGGTACCTCCCAGGGTCCCAGCATAACCTGACCTCCTAGCGAGCAGCCAAATCACCAAATCACCGATTTACAAAATGCCCAGAAATGGATGTTTCTGAGAAATCACAACACCCCCCCCCAGGAGGGAGGGGCCTGAGTGGCGCCAGCAGCGTCACCCACACGGCTCCCGTCTCTGTCTCAGGACGTGTCCACCTGCTTCACCTGGGACCCCATCTGCTCCCCAAACCGGAGATGATCAAGGAGAGGCCCGAGGTCAACGAGGAGGCTCCCCAGGGCGAGAAGCCAGTCGGGAGGACAGAGATCAATATCCACGGCGGCGACACCGCCACCACCGAGACCGTGGTGCCCGACCACATCGTCTGTTCCCTGTTCAACATCCTCTTCTTCAACCCCTGCTGCCTGGGCTTCCTGGCGTTCGCCTACTCCGTGAAGGTGGGTGTGCGCCCGGCGGGGGGTGGGGGGGAAGGGGAGGGAGGCTTCCGGAAAGCTGTGCGAGCCCCACTGGCCTGCTGCCCCGACGGCCTTGGGATGGGGAGCCCTCCTGAGCGCTTTCTGTGCGGATGTGCTGAGGGTCAGCCTGGGGTCAGGCCACGGCTCATCCAGTGAGAGTCCTGGGGGGGGGGGGGGCCCTGAGTGGAGGGTCGCCACCTGTCCCCACCCCTGGAGCTCTCCTTTCAATCCAAGTACAGGGCTCCGCCCTCCACACCTGCCCATGAGGTCTCGGTCTGGTCCAGAAAAAGGCAAAGTCCTCAAAGATGCGGAGCCCTGGGGGGCAGGGGGCGGGGGCGCGGTGAGCGGCCAGCAAAGCGGCCAGGACTGGGGGAGAGGAGCCCTGAGGTTCTGGGGAGGCTGAGCGGCTGTGAGGAGGCCCCCCTGGCCTGGCCTGCTCAGGCTCCAGGGAACAGGGAGGGGTCCCTGACCTGGCTGAGGGCAGGTGGAGGCTGGTCTGGGCTGGAGCAGCCAGGGGTGGGCCTGAGTCACAGCGCCTGGCTGTGCCCAGGGCCCCTCCAGACCCCTCACCATCTCTTCTCCCCCAGTCTAGGGACCAGAGGATGGTGGGAGACGTGACTGGGGCGCAGAGCTATGCGGCCATCGCCAACTGCCTCAACATCTGGGCCACGATCCTGGGCATCCTGATTACTGTCGGGCTCATCGTTCTCCTGACTCGGTACCCAGATCTCTTCAGTGTGAGGAGGTGGGCCCAGCAGAGTGGCGGGGCCGACTAGTCACTGCCGCGGCAGGTGCCACTGCGTCCTCCCCACCCTCACCCCCGCCGGCCCCGCCCAGGCACCCGCCCCTTCCTTCATCCTGCACCTGTTCATACACCTGTCAGCAGCTGAGCTCAATAAAGTGCACCTGTACGTGACCATGCTGGCATTCCCTGGGCCGGGGCACTGCCCGGTCCCCAGCCCGCCCCTGAGACAGCCCCCCTTGCGGCTGGGAGGGGTCCTGGCACTTTCTCAGATGTCCCTGGTCTCTGGCCTCCAGCTGGGAGCAGCGGCTGGACCAGCAGCCTAGGAGGGATCCCCTCCTCCCCAGTGTCTGACCCTGACCCAAGGGGCACTGGGCCAGCCCAGCCTTGGCCCCAGGACAAGCCTCGCTGACTCCGAGTGGCTGGGAGCAGCGGTGCTGGGTGAGGGCGGCCGGCCGGTTCTCTGGAGGCCGCGGTGTCTGCACGTGGGGGCAGGGGTGCAGCCCAGGCCCCCAGCCCCTCCTGAGCGGCCCTCCAGCTCTGTCCTTGCTCCTCTGCAGGGGGCAGGGTTAGGGGCAGCCAGTGGCCCTGGAGGGACAGAAACCCTGAGAGGAAGCACCGATCCTCCCATCAAACCGCCCGGCCTGCTGGCTCTGGTTTGTGGTTCTCCCATCAGTCCGCAGCCAGAGGGCGGGACCCCACACCCGCTGTGACCACCTGCAGCTCCTAATCTTGGCCCAGCGGCTGTGCTTTGTCTGGGGGGTGGGGATGCCTGGCTGGAGGTGCCCCGCCCCTGTTCCCCCCCCCCTCCGTCAGAGCAGGAGGGGCTGAGGTCCAGGGAAGATGGTCCAGCAGGGGGGAGGTGGGTGGGACGGTGTCCCAAGACTGGCCGCTGAAGGAGGCTGAGGGGCAGGGCTTGCACTCAGTTCTGGGAGGAGCGTTGTGGCTTCTGCTCCTCCCCCTTCCCCCCCAACTCCCCCTCCTGAGGGCTGCCCTGGCATTGGCCCCGCCCCACCAGGGCCGCAGGAGCCTTTGATGGCTGGGCTGCATCCAGGGCGCTCCACCCCTGCAGCCACAACACCCCCACCCCGCAGCCACAGCACCCCCACCCGTAGTACTCCCACCCCCATAGCAACCCCACCTCCACAGACCCCCACCCCTGCAGCTACAGCACCCCCACCCCGCAGCCACAGCACCCCCACCCCCATAGCACCCCACCCCCACAGACCCCCACCCTCACAGACCCCCACCCCGCAGCCACAGCACCCCCACCCCCACAGACCCCCACCCTCACAGACCCCCACCCCGCAGCCACAGCACCCCCACCCCTACAGACCCCCACCCCTGCAGAGCCCCACCCCACAGCCACAGACCCTCGCAGCCACAGACCCCCACCCCCACAGACCCCCACCCCCACAGACCCCCACCCCCACAGACCCCCACGCCCACAGCACCCCCACTCCACAGCCACAGACCCCCACCCCCACAGCACCCTCACCCCACAGCCACAGACCCCCACCCCCACAGCATCCCCACTCCACAGCCACAGACCCCCACCCCCACAGCACCCTCACCCCACAGCCACAGACCCCCACCCCCACAGCACCCTCACCCCACAGCCACAGACCCCCACCCCCACAGCCACAGCACCCCCACAGACCCCCACCCTCGCAGCCACAGCACCCCCACCCCCACGGACCCCCATCCCGCAGCCATAGACCCCCACCCCGCAGCCACAGCACCCCCACCCCCACGGACCCCCACCCCACAGCTCCCCCACCCCCACAGCACCCCACCCCGCAGCCACAGCCCCCACCCCGCAGCCACAGCACCCCCACCCCCACAGCTCCTCCACCCCCATCCTCCGCAGCTGGCCCCGCGGGTTATCCGCGCACGGGCCGCAGGGGCCCCTCGGGGTGCGGGGCGCGCTGTGCTCATCCGCGGGGCTGGCGGGCTGCCATTCGCCGGTACATTCGGTGGTGGCTGTGGCGGGGGGTTGAGGGGGTGGGCAGGGGGCGGTCGGGCTGCCATTCGCCGGTGTATTTGGCGGCGGCGGGGGCGGGGGGCGGTCTGGCGGGGGCGGGGTGGGGGGCGGCCGGGCAGGGCGGGCTCCGGAGGGGCGGGCGGCCAGGCTGCCATTCGCTGGTATATTTGGCGGCCGGGCCGGGCCGGGCAGCGGGTATAAGGGCCTGCGCCCCCGGAGCGGCCGCGGAGGAGGCGACGGCGCTGGAGCCCATGGACACCGCGTACCCCCGCGAGGAGCCCCGCGCCCCGACGCCCCGCAAAACCGACGGCGCCCCGCACACAGCGGTGGCGCTGGGGGCGCCAGGGCCCCCGCCGCGGGACCACCTCCTCTGGTCGCTGTTCAGCACCCTCTACCTGAACCTGTGCTGCCTGGGCTTCCTGGCGCTGGCCTACTCCGTCAAGGTGGGCGCGAGGGTGCTCCTAGGGGAGGGGTGCCCCCACTGAGGGTGCTTCTGAGAGGGAAGGGTGTCCTCACCGAGGGTGCTCCTAGAGGAGGGCCCTCCCCAGGGAGGGAGGGGCGCCCCACCGAGGGTGCTTCTGAGAGGGAGGGCGCCCCCGCTGAGCGTGCTTCTGAGAGGGATGGGTGCCCCCGCTGAGGGTGCTCCCGAGAAGGACAGTGTCCTCACCGAGGGTGCTCGGGAGAGGGAGGGGTGTCCTCAGGGGCATCTGGCCCACTGAGAAGAGCCGAGGTGATGGGGCTTTTCAGATGCTGGTGTTCTCATGAGCAGCCCCCCAGCGGACTCCCCACTGAGGGCCCTTGGGGACTTATGCTGGCCTGGGAGGTGGCAGCTGTCCCTTGCAGTCCCACCCCAGCCCCCGCCCCAGCCCCAAGCCCTGAGTCCAGTTTGGGGCCGTTAAGGGAGCTGGTGCAGCCCGTGGCAGGTCCCCTCAGCCACACGCCTCCATCCAGATTCCCGGTCCCCGCGGCCCTCCGAGGCGGGGGCCGGGGCTGCCTGGGGTGGCAGACACAGGCCCCCCAGGCCCAGCGCACGTCGTGACCTGGCCCCGCACTGTCCGCAGGCCCGGGACCAGAAGGTGGCAGGGGACCTGGTGGAGGCCCGGCGTCTGGCCTCCAAGGCCAAGTGCTACAACATCCTGGCCGCCATGTGGGCCCTGGTGCCGCCCCTGCTGCTGCTGGCGCTCGTGGTGACCGGGGCGCTGCACCTGTCCCGGCTGGCCAAGGACTCGGCCGCCTTCTTCAGCACCAAGTTCGACGACTCGGACTACGACTGACAGGCTGGCCCTGTCCCTGTCCCGCAGGGGGCTGGACCCTGACCTCCCGGAACCCCACTGCATAAGACCCACCCCCGGCTCCAGGCTGGGCTCCTAATGCTGACCCTGAAGACCCCCCGTTTGGACCCCAAGGCCTCACCCTAACCTGGACGGTCGCTGCTCCCCTAACCCCTGCCCCAGCCTAACCCTCCCTCCCCGCTCCCCAGGCTCAGCCTGCTCTCACAATTAAAAATGCCTTGTTCCAGAAGGGCCCCCGGCTGGTTCCTGGCTGGGGTGGGGGAGGGTGGGAGACACCCACCACCAGACCGCCTGGGTGGACCCGGCACTGAAGGGGGTCGGCCCGCTTGGAATGTCCTGCTTTGGGCTGTGGTCTCCGGCCGTCCCCTGGGGCTCCGGTGGCTGCGGCTTCGGCTCCTTTTAGAATCCCGTTTGGGAAGAGAGCTTTCATCTGGGCTGCCGGGCCGGGCGCCGTGGTTTCGTGGCCTCTCTTCCGGAGCATGAGTGATGGGTCTCCCCGGCTCCACGTGTGCCCACCCGGTCTGCGTGTGTGGGTGCACGCCTGTGCACGTGTCTGCGTGCACGGTGAGTGGGAGTCCCTGGCCAGGGAGAGCGCTCCTGCGCGCTCCTGTCCGAGGGTTGGGTGTGTGCCCGTCTCCTCCTTTGGCCACTGGGTCGGTCCCTTTAACTCTGAGAAATCTCAGGCCCCGCAGGGCGGAGGTATGTCTGGACCGGGACACAGGCGCACACAGGCATGGCCACACGCCCTCCACGCACACAGTCTCCCTCATGCACACAGGGACCCCCCCACAGCTGTGCAGGGGGGGACTTGGGGGGTGAGGACGCTCTCAGGGTCCTTGATGCCAGGCCCATGCCTTGTATTGCACCCTGAGCCAGCGGACTGGCAGAGGGGGGCGGCTAGACACATGCACACACCCTGTGTGGCTGGGTGAGGTCCCCGGGGCCTTGGTGTGGCTGGGCCAATGACAGGGCAGGCTAATTGCAGGGCCTTAAGCACAGGGTGGCTGGGTTTTGAACCCCACCCAGGGTCCTTTCCGTCCCCAGGGAGCCCCCTTGGCCCCATTCACTATGCCTGGGCTGGCTGGAGGGGCCTGTTTAGCCACTGCCCTTGGAGTTCCCAACGTACTGCCTGCCCACACCCCTCTCCTCCCCCGACACCAACAGCTGGCCCAGCCATCCCCATGTGCCTGCAGAGACGGTCCCTGACCCATGCCCACAGGCCCCAGCCCCGAGCTGGGCAGTGTGTGCTGCCCTGAGCCAGCCCCTGAGGCCGAGGGGCGCTGGCCGGGGCCGGGGGTGGAGACAAAGCCTTGGCCTGTGCTGGGCTGGCCCCAGTTGGACCAAGGACGAGGGCAGTGCCAGCGCTTGGCCCGGGATGGAGGCCCCCTGCCCGCACTGAGCTCCAAGTTTGTCCCAAGAAGGGACCAACCTGGCTGGATAGAGGCTGGGGGCAGGGCTCAGCCTCTGGGGGGCCAGGTACATGGCCCCGGGCGCACGGGATGGCCTGAGGGTTGTGATGGGCGTGAAGGTTGCCCGCCCGCGCCCAGGTGCTGAGGACAGAGGTGCAGTCAAGCCAGGGGGCATGAGGTCGTGGGCACGCAGGCTGCGTCCTAGGCAGGCTGAAGGCCCCTGACCCAGTCAGGCCGCTGCCTACCAGGGGCCTGAGCCCAGCATGCGTGCCCGCCGCCCGAGTCCCTTGGAGGGCCACCTGCTGTGGGCACAGGTGGCAGTGGGCAGGTGGTCACAGGAGCAGCCGCATCAGGCTCCAGCGGAGTGGTGTCCCTGGGTGCCTGTGCCACCCCTGGCTCCAGGGCTGCTGCCCTGGGACAGTCCCTGCGGCTTTACGACCTGCCGGGCCCCTGGGGGGGAAGGAGAGCCACCAAGGACTCACCATAGGGAGTGGCCCTGACACGTGTGCTGGCTACAACTTGGCCTCCTCCCTCAGAGGCCACTACGACCCATGTGCTGCCCCACAGCGTCAGGCCTGAGACCCCCCCAGGCCTCCACCCACCTGGCATCCCCTTCTGTCTGTCCGTCCGTCACAGTCCATCTGCCCGGTGTCTGCTCCTTGGAGAACCTGGTCCACCTCTGTCCAGAACACTCTTGGCCAGAGCTGGGAGGGGGGCTGCCCACTTGCTCAAAGGGAGCAAGTTATTGGCCGGAACTCTATCCACCGGACGCCCTGACTTCAGAGGAGCCTCAGCTCCACAGCTGGGCCTGCCGTAGGTGCCCCCCATCCCTCACCTCAACTCCCGGCACCCACAGGCAGCGCCCTCGCCAAGTTTCCCCGCGGACCCCGCCTCGCCTCATTGGGAAACCCGAGGACCCGGGGTGATGTGCCAGCCGCGAGGCTGTGACCCCCGCAGACGCCGGGCGGGGCCTCCGGCCCAGAGCAGCCTGCCCCGCACAGACAGGCCCAGGGCCTTGGCCTAGAACCCTGGGCCCCAGGCTCGGTCCTTCCTGCTGGTCAGACAGAGGACACGGGATCTCGCTCTGCACTCCACTTGAAGAAAGACACGGGATGGATGGGGCTGTCCAACCTGACTGAAGTGGCCCCGAGGCTGGGGCGCCAGGGACGAAGGACGCTGAGTTCCCGGGACAGCCCGGAGCACCCGGACCCAGCCATGGCGGCCTCGGTATCCTCACATGGAGAGTTCTTGGTGGTGAAGCTCCGGCTGAGGCAGAGTAACTCCAATTCCACAGGCCGAGCCCTCCCCATCCCCCTGCCCTCCACTTGGCCCGCCCACCTCGGCCTCCCAGCAGAGCCACCCGCCCAGCCCACCGCTCCCTGGCAAATGGCTCGGGCACGGCAGGTGCAGGGGTCAGCCTCGGGGGCAGGAGCAGGCATGCTGGTGTGGGAGGCGGTGGGCACGGGCTGAGCAGGGAAGGGGTCGGGCTAGAGGCAGCCTTGAACTTCAGGCCAAAGAAGCCAGACCTTCCCTGGAGCCCATGAGCCTGGCTGGCAGGTGGAGGGTGGGAGGAGGCAGATGGGTGACAGGAGGAGCGGAGCAGCCAGCCGCCCACCCCCACATAGGGAGTGCCAGAGGGAAGGTCCCGAGAGGTCCCTAAAGCCAGGTCAGCACCCGGTGAGGGGCTCCAGGTCGGGCCCACAGGTGTCCAGGGGGGTGCTGAGGGCTCCAATGTCCTCAGCAGTTTCTCCCAGGGCATTCTGGGAGCAGCACTTGCTGCCTCGGCTCCTCCAAGGGTGACCTTTGTATCCGGCCCGCAGAGCTGGCAAAGGAGACCTTGTGTCCTGCAGGGACAGGGGCCACTCTGAGGGGGGGGGCACACGCCCGGCCGGCCGGGGGGGCCACTGGCCTGGGCCCCCGGGTGGGTCTGGGGGTAGCAGCCTACCTGGGTGCAGGGGGAGCCGGGTTTGGGACGGCCACAGCTCGACCTCCAGCGGGGGCGCCCCGGGCCCGGCCGGGGGCCTGACCTCCACCGTCACCGAGCCCTCGGAGAAGGAGAAGTCAAGCTTGTGCCCCAGGTAGCAGATGCCGGAGACACACGCTCCAGAGACCCCCGCCGGGCACATGGGGTCAAAGGTCACGCCGGCCGCGGTGACCCTGCAGAAGGGGAGGCTCTGTGAGGAGGCCGGCAGGGGCGGCGACCTCCGTCTGCCGGTCACCCCACTCACCGGAACCCCGTGAACCCGAAGAGCGCCGCCTGCAGGAAGCCCCCCATGCCCGTCAGGAAGTTCACGGCACCGGACCCATCGGCATTCTCCGTCCACACCTGCAGGGGCGAGGCCGTCAGAGCCGGGAAGCCCGGACACAGCCTCCTCGCCCCCCAGGCTGCTGTCCCTGCTCCTGGGAGGTCGGGTGGCCATCACAGCGCTGTGACCCCAGGAACGGGCTCCCACTCCCACCACCCGGCCCGCCCAGGATCGGGGTGGCCAGGGGATGGGGGAGCGGGGCCCAGGCTGGCCTTGAAGGGCTCGGTGATGTTGGCGAAGCTCCTGCCCAGCAGGTCCGCTGCCCGCCGGGCGTCCTTCAGCTCCATCCAGCCCACGGCAAACATGCTCTGGGGGCAGAGGGCAGAGGGCAGAGGGCACGCTGGCGTGAGGTCCACGGCATGGGGACGGGAGACAGGCCGGGGGGCCAGGGCTGGGGCTGCCGTGGGAACCACCGCTCTTACCCACGTCATGGCCGGGCCCTGGGGGGACGTCACAGCCTCGTAAACTTCCAGGTTTCTCCTGCGAACTTGAGGGCTCAGGGAGAAGGGGACGGGGTACCCCAGGAGCACAACATCTGCCTGCTTCACCTCCTCTCCTGGGGAGGAAGGGGGCAGGGGTTGCTGAGGGGGGGAAGGAGGACAGGGGCCCTCTGTCGGGAAGGGGGCGTTGGGGGGGCAGAAGGGGCCCTGAGTCCACTCACCAGGCTCATACCCATCAAACTCGGGGTGGAAGTTCCGCTTCACGTCAAAGGGCACCTTGATCTTGTCAGCCACGGCCAGCCACCGGCTGGGGACGGGCTGACCCAGGTCCCGGGCCAGGGCAGCGGCAAAGCGCAGGCTAGGGCAGAGGCAGGGGCTGCAACTCTGGCACTCAGTGCCCCCCGTCCCCTCCCCCCCGTACGGCTGGGCTGGGCCGGGCCTCGGGTCTGACCTGTTCTGGACCAGGACGTTGGTGTACACGGAGTTGTTGACCCCGGAGTGGTACTCGTCGGGGGGCATGACTCCTGGGCACAAAGGCATGATGGTGCTTAGTGCAGCGTCTCAGACCTGCCTGCTGCACTGGCCAGTGGGGGCTGGCAACACCAGGTTACCCTGACCTGACCCTGACCTGACCCTGACCTTGAACCAAAAAACATCCACCAGCTCATTACCATCCATCCCCCCATGACCACCCTCCCCTATGACCACCCTCCCCCATGACCACCCTCCCGCCATGACCACCCTTCAGGTGGTACTCCTCCTCTGCAGGGCTCCACTCCACACGGCTGCACCAGAACTCAGCCACGGCACTGACCACGTCCCAGCCGCCATCCTCTTGGAAGAGCTGCAGGTCCTGGGGGAGGAGGGGGTGGAACAGGCCCCGGCACCCTCCATTCCAGTTCTCATGGGCCTGCAGGTCCCGCCACTGCCCACCTTCCCCAGCACCCAGAGTGATTGCCCAGCACCCAGAGCGACTGCCCAGCACCCAGAGCGACTGCCCAGCACCCAGAGCGACTACCCAGCACCCAAAGCGACTGCCCAGCACCCAGAGCGACTGCCCAGCACCCAGAGCGACTACCCAGCACCCAAAGCGACTGCCCAGCACCCAGAACAGATGCCCAGTACCCAGAACGGATGCCCAGCACCCAGGAGTGAATGCGTGACTCCCAGGTGCCTGGACTGGCTCTAGGCAGGAAGTCCTGGCTGAGGCAGAGCCACAGGAGGAATGGCCACACCTGGTGGGCAGACGCCCGCCTCTCCTGGGCGCCCCTCACCTGGGTGCTGTGGTAGTACAGCTGGAAGGCCAGCACCACGGCCCCGTTGACGTGGATTTCCTGGGTCCCGTAGATGTCCTCGGGGCAGACCTCCAGCCCGGAGCCCGCACTCTCCCAGGCAAACTTGGCTCCCTGAGGTGGAGGGGGTGGGGTGAGAGGGGGGTAGGGGAGGTGCAGGCCGGATTCCTTATCAGGGGGCTCGGGAGGAGCTCACATTTCCCATACACTCAGCCTACAGCCACAGAGGGCGAGGGGGGCACCAACTTCCCGGTGCAACTTCCTGGGTGCCACTGTATTGCCCCCCCATCTCCCCCCCACCCCACTCCACCCCCAGTGGGCCAGTTCCTACTGTGGCTGCCCCTGCACAGGGCAGTGAGGGGACTCGCTGGGGCAGCCAGGCTGTTCCCATGGGCAATGATCCCCTGTAAGAACCCCACATGCTCCCCCCTACCCCCAGAGGGGTCTGGCGACTTCAGCCCTCCAGGGGCCCTGCGGGGTGGGCACTGGGCCTCCCTCCCTCACCTGGTAGCCCAGGTTCCGGGCGTTGTCCAGGGCCCCACCTAGCGTCCGGATGCGGTACTGCAGGAGCGCCCTGGCGGCCTGAGGCTGGAGCAGGAGGACGTTCGGGAACATCCAGAGATCCTGGGAGCACAGAGGGCGGGGGCTCGCGCTCGCGCACCCTGTACTCCCCCTTCCCGCCCTGGGGGGCTCAGGGGCAGCACAGCTCCTTGTCGTGGGATCTGTCCCGGGCCCCCCTAGCCTGCCTGCCACACGTCCCCAATTCCAGCTCACACCCTCAGTTCCCCGGCCCAGTGCTTCCCCTCCCTGGGGGGCACCTGGGTCTGGCCTGGGGCTCAGCTAGGATCGGGGGTGGGCAGCTGGAGGGGAGCCAGCTCCGGTGCTCACTGGCTGCCTGACCCAGAGGGTGAAGAGGGCCGCACCCCCGCCCCTCGGGCTCCCATGCCCGCTGGTCCCCAAGTCCCAGCTCTCCTGGCTCCGCTCTTGCCCGGCCTCACCATCCCCCACGCCCCTCCCCGCCCCCCCCCCCCCCCCCCGCCGTTTCCTTAGCAGCTACACAGGTCTCTCCAGAACCCACATTTGTCTCAGTCACACCCCAATGAACAGGTCTTCCCGGCGCCTGCAGCCCCCCTACAACTGCTCTCCCTGCCTCATGAGCCCTCAAGGCCGTGCCCTGGGCCCAGAGACCCTCTGCCCGTGTGCCACCCCGCGTGCAGGTGTGTGCTGGGGCGGAGGGCGCACACCTGGTCCCAGAACACGTGGCCCCAGTAGCATTCCTCGCGGCTGCCGTTGGAGAGGCCCCCGGGGCTGAGTCCGTGGCAGACGTGTCCTGGGGCCCCGGGTTCGGGCAGGGCGCTGAGCAGGTAGTAGAGGGCACCACGCAGGGCCTGGCGCAGCGGCAGGGGCCCCTCCACATCCAGGCCGCAGCCTTCCCAGAGCTGCGCCCAGGCCTGGGCGTGGGTGGGGTACAGCGCCCCCCTGGCCTGCAGCTCTAGGGCCTCGGAAAGGCAGGCCCGGGCCTCCGCCTGGCTGCCGGCCACCACGGCCAGGAACTCCCAGGTCCTGCTCTGCTCGCCCTCCCCCAGGGTCAGGGCGGGGGGCACGGGTGTCCACAGCATGTGCACCTCCTGCGGCGCGCCCCCAGGCTGCTCGGGGGTGAGCGTGTGGCCGAACAGGTACCTGCGAGAGCACGGCTGTCTCAGGGGGGGCCTCCTGGGGGCCTCCCGGCTGCCCCCGCCCCCCTCCTCACCGGGCTCCCTGGAAGTCCGGCCCCAGATGCAGGTCCAGGTCCGGGCTCTCCGGGGAGAAGGCAGAGCGCAGCGGCACGGTGACGGGCCGGCCGCCCGGGGCCCGGCGGGCGATGGCCACGCTGCAGGCCAGCACGTGCGGCAGCCGGCGGTGGGCGTAGAGGCGCTGGGAGGCCCGGAAGCGGGCGCCCTCCAGGGTGTGCAGAAAGGAGCCTGCGAGGCGGGGAGACGGCCATCACACCGCCCCACATGGGGCAGCCGGTGGGTTACAGAGCTGCCGGCCTCTCTGCCCTGGGACTGAGCCCCCCTCCGTGAGGTGAGCCCCCCGGGAGCCCCACTGCCTGTGGAGGAAGCGCCGGCTGCCCTGGGGCACCCCCTGCCAGGGCAGGACCCCCACTCTCCCCCAGCTTGCAAGGCAGCCTCCGGGGCCCCCTTTCTTTGAGCCGGGCACCCTGAGTTGGGAGATGCCAGGATAGGATTGCGAGGACCCCCTCCCCCCACTAACTGGGAACCCGGGGTAGGGGCAGGCAGTGGCTACCTGTGTTGGTGTCCAGGACAAAGGTCGTGGTCAGCTGCTCTTCGGTGCCCATGGGGGCCTCCAGCTGGACACCGAGGGGACTGGGCAGGATGGCTCGGTGCGTGTCCCCCAGCGCCCCGTTGTACACGCCACTCACATGCAGCGTGTCATGATACACACGTGTGCCCAAGTATGCGTTGGTCACGGTGGCCCAGAGCCGGGGGTCGCTGGGCAGGGAGTGGGCGGTGAATATGGTGGGGTCTTCGCCGGCGTCCGCCATGGAAAGCCTTGCTCAACGGAGGGGTCTGGAAAAGGGGGTGGGGTCAGGGGACCCCCAGTTGGTTGGGTCTCCCTCTTTTGATGCTATTGACCCCTAAGCCCCTGCCGTTGGGACGTGGCTGGTGCCCCCCAATGTGGCTCCCTGGGCAGCCCTGGCTCCCAGATCCCCCACTTTGGAGCCCTCAGCCCCTCATATTGATCTCCAGGGACCAAGGGAGTTCCCACGCCCCCCTCTTCAGACCTCCGTCCTGACCTTGGGGCTGTCTGGACGCCGCACCCCAGCACCGGCCCCGTGGGTGGAAGTGAGAACTCTGCCCGGAACGCGTCTCCCCGAGGAAGCCGCCTGGGGGCGGGTGGGCGTAGGGGGCAGTGCCGGGTGCTGGGCGGCTGTGCGGGCGAGAGGCCGGGCGACCTGGGAGGGGGCAGCCGTCTGGGCTCACCGCCGCCCGCCGGGGCCTCCAGCTGCTGCTCGGGCCGAGGGAAAAGGAGCGGGACGCCTAGCAGCCGGAAGGCCCTCGGTCCCCGCCCTCGGGGCGGCGCAGGGCGGGCGGGTTGGGAGGCTGGTCCCGCCCCCAGGGCGGTGCTGGGAGGGCGGGAAGGAGGCTGGGCAGACGGTGCTCGGTGCTGGGGCGAGGCAGGTCAGGCGGTAGAACTACAGCCCCCGTCCCGCCCGGAGCTGAGGGGCAGGGCCCTTGGCGTGCCCCCCCATGTCTGCCCCGGAGGAGAGGTCCTGCAGAGGTGTCCTCTGCCCCGTCCCCTCTGCTCCTCAGCCTCTCCTCTCACCCTCCATCTCCCCCAAATCCCCTGCCCCCAGGCCTGGGCCTGCTCCATCCTTGTCTCTCACGCCCTGGGCAGACTCAAATTCTGACCCCCAGTCAGAGGCCCTCAGATCCACCCCAACCGCACCCCCCACCCCCACAGCTGCTCTCCCTGTCGCTCCCTCATCCAGCGCCCAGGCCGCCTGTGTCCGCACACCCACGCCCACCCTCAGCCCTGCTGGCCGCCTCCAGCCCTGCCTGCTCTTCGCTCTCCGTCCGCCCTGACTCCTGGGCCAGCACACTCCCCGCTTCCTGCTTCTGCTCTGCCCTTCCGCCCTGCGAGGGGCGAGGTCAGCCTGTGCCCTCTGCTCAGAAGCCCGCAGTGGTGCCCACCTGTCTGGAAGGACATGCCCCCAAGGTGCCTGCCCCCCTCCCCGCAGCCAGCCTGGCTCCTGCCGCTGTGACCTTCACTCTGAGCACGCTCCCTGCTGGGCACTGCGTGCGGTGCCCCACATGGTCTCTCCGTTAACATCTAATCCCAGATGTGACAGTATTTGGAGGCGGGGCACTTAGAAGGTCATTAGGTCAAGAGCTATCATGAATGGGACAGCCCGGCCAGTGTGGCTCCGTGGTTAGCATCGACCCATGAACTAGGTCGTCAAGGTTTGATTCCCAGTCAGGGCACATGCCCTGGGCTCGATCCCCAGGGTGGGGAGTGCAGGAGGCAGCTGATCGATGATTCTCTTTTATCATGGATGTTTCCATCTCCCTCTCCCTTCCTCTCTGAAATAAATATGTATATGTATATGTATATGTATATGTATGTGTATGTGTATGTGTATGTGTATGTGTATGTGTATGTGTACAGGTATAGGTATAGGTATATGTATATGTATATGTATATGTATATGTATATGTATATGTATATAGAATGGGACAAGTGCCCGTATGAGAGGCCAGAGGGCAGGCAAGGTCCCTACCAGGCGAGGACAGTGAGGACACAGCTGCCTGCAGCCAGGAACAGGCCCCGCACCAGACACCGAGTTGACGGCACCTTGGCCTTGAGCCGGCCGGCCTCCAGAACCAGGGGGATTAACTCCTGCTGTCCAAACCCACCTGGTGGTGGTATTTGGTCAGGGCACCCCGAGCTGACCTGGCACCTCCCTGCCCGCCACGGGACACATCTCTTCGGGATGTCGGGTGTTGGGGGGCTCAGTCAGGGTCCCAGGCCCCTTACAGGTTACAGGAACCCTCAGTTCCCTATGCCTGTCCCTGCTCTGCATCGCTCTCCTCCACAGCGTTTACCTGCCCGTCTACACGTCTGTCTGTCTGTCTTCCTGCCAGCGTGGCAGCTCCAGGAGGGCAGGGTTTTTTGTCTGCTTTGTGGAATGAGTGACTGGATTGGAGTTGATTCAGGCCCTAGCTGGTTTGGCTCAATGGTTAGAGTGTCGGCCGACAGATTAAAGGGTCCCGGGTTAAATTCTAGTCAGGGGCACATGCCTGGTTGCAGGCTCGACCCTCAGTGAGGGGGTGTGTGTGCAAGTCAGCCGATCAATGATTCTCTCTCATCATTGATGCTTCTCTCTCTCCCCCTCTCCCTTCCTCTCAGAAATCAATAAAAATATATTTTAGTCCTGGCTGGTTTGGCTCAGTGGATAGAGCTTTGGACTGCAGACTGGAGGGTCCCGGGTTCGATTCCAGTCAAGGGCGCATGCTCAGGTTACAGGCTAGATCTCCAGAAGGGGGTGTGCAGGTGGCAGCCGATCAATGATTCTCTCTCATCATTGATGTTTCTATCTCTTTCTCCCTCTTCCTTCCTCTCTGAAATATATATATATATTGTGTGTATATATATATATATATATATTTTTTTTTTTTTTTTAAAGGAAGTTGATTTTGGAGTGGCACTTTCTCTGGAGTCAGCCCTCTACTGGGCAGTCTCAGGAGCTGGCACCTTGGGAGGGAGGACTCGAGGGCTGCCCACCGCTGGCCTGTCCATCCAGGGTCAGGCTACTCCCTGAGCCTCAGTTTTCTCATCCTTGAAATGGGGACGTGGCCTGGACGGGGAGTTAGGCACCAAAGGAACGATGGCCAGGATGCCCTGCCGAGTGAAACAGAAACCAACGGACCAACGCAAAGGAGCATTTATTACCAGCAGGCCGGCTGCCCACCGCCACGCCGTCACCGCCACGGGGGCGGCCACTGCCTCCTCCACGCCGCCCTGGGCTCCGTCCCCAGACCCTAGACGGCGAGTTGATTTTGGAGTGGCACTTCCACAGGCTCAGCCACGGGCCTCAGGGATGGCTTCCCCTGATGCAAGACCTGCGTTCGGGGGACGGGGGAGGGAGGGCGACCCGCCCACCTCAGGTCAAGGGTCAGCCCCTGCCTGCACCTCCTGGCCAGGGCAGCACGCAGATGGAGGTGTCTCTGCACCAGCCACCAGGTGAAGGGCTGCACGTGGCAGGCGCTCAGCTGTGGGGGCTCAGCACCATTGTTGGGGGCGGGGCTGCGAAGGGGTGGCTGCAGGCTGGGAGAGGAAGCGGAGGTTAGGGCCCAGGGTGTGGGGGAGGGGCAGGTGCCGGGCCCTGTGGAGGACCACGAGGGGGGAGTGGGGGGCATGCTGTCGGGGCCTCCCCCTGCCTGCCCGGCCCCCTCGGATGGGAGAGCTGCCCCTTGCTGATGGGGGTCCTCCTGGCTGTGCCGCCCGCGGGGCCTACAAGGACGTGCTGAGTCCCTTGGGAGGTGCAGGTTGGCTGTCCAGCGCTGAGTGCGTGATGACCAGGCCTGGCCTTGCTGTCCTCACAGCCTGAAGCTCCTCCAGCGATTGCTCGCTCAGCTCCACGGAGCTCAGGCTGCACACGTGCACAGGACAAGTGGGGAGGTGGGTGGGAGGGAAGCAGCAATGATGGGGGGCAGTGGGGGGCAGTGACGGGAGTGGGGGTGGGGGTGGGGACTGGCCTGGGCCGTGCTAGCGGTACACAGTGACAGAAGACAGCCCATCAGGGTTGCCAGAGGCTGGGGAAAGGGGGCGGGAGCTGGGGACCAAGCCCTTGGGAAGCCCCAGGTACCCCCTGCCTCCCCCCCACCCCCACCCCCGGCTTCAGAGGCGTGTCCTCAGCACCCTCCGCCCTGCCCCCACCTGAGGGTCTGCAGGCGACATCCGGGCTGCTGCAGGGCCGCACACAGGCCGGTCACCACGAGTGCTGGCAGTTGGCAGCCGCTGAGATCCAGCGTGGTCAGGGCGGGGCTGTGCTGGAGCAGGCCCACCAGGTACTGGAGGCCCTCCTGGAGGCAGGGCTGCTGCAGCCTGCGGGGAGGGGGCCTCAGGAGCAGCTGGGGGGCCGGTCCCCTCCCCTCGTCCGCCCAGACCCAGCCTCACCTGAGTGTCTGCACCCGGCTCCCGGGCCAGACCAGGCCCTCGCTCAGCGCCCGCAGCCCCGCCTGGCTGAGCCCGTTGTGCAGGAGGCACAGCTCCGTCAGGGCGGGGGCCGCCTTCAGGGCCTGGGCCAGGTCGCGGCAGGCGGAGTCGGAGAGCTTGCAGCGGGACAGCCTGTGGTCCGGAGGCACACGTCACTCTCAGGCCCCTCGGCCGCTCGCTGCACCGGCTGTGCAGACTGTCTGCTCCCTGGGGCTGGGGTCAGCCGGAGGGGAGTCGGCTGCACGGGCCCATTCAGGCCTCCACCTGCACACGCAGACCTACTCCTGCACACGCTGATCTCCCCCTGCACACGCTGACCTCCCCCTGCACACGCTGACCTCCCCCTGCACATGCTGACCTCCTGCTGCACATTCAGGCCTCCCCCTGCACATGCTGACCTCCCCCTGCACATGCTGACCTCCTGCTGCACATTCAGGCCTCCCCCTGCACACGCTGACCTCCTACTGCACATTCAGGCCTCCCCCTGCACATGCTGACCTCCCCCTGCACACGCTGACCTCCCCCTGCACATGCTGACCTCCGCAGAAACACTGTGGCTCATATGCTGCACTAAGCTGAGTGGCAGGACTGATGGGCCAGTGGGCTGGTCTCCTCCATGTCCTCCCACCCCATGCCCAGCTCCCACTGAACTGGCCAGCCCCCTTCCCAAGGAGCCCCTAAGCTGGGGTGGGCCCTGTCCTGTGTCAGTCCCAGCATGGGACACCAGAGGCCACCGGCTCGCAGCCTGCCCCCTCAGCCAGCCCAGACAGGGCCCCTCCGCTGCCCTCCCCTGGGCACCCGGCCCCGTGCCCCTCTCAGGCAGGGCTGGGGCCGGGCCACTCACGTCAGGCTGGTCAGACCACACTGCTGGTCGGTCAGGGCCTCGCAGAGAGGGCGCAGTGAGGACGCCTGGGGTTTCCCCGCGGTGGCCTGAGAGCTGCGGGGAGAGAAAGGGAGCCGCCTGGCCGCAGTCCCTCCCTCCTGCCTGTGCCCCTCAGGTGTCACGGCCACCTCTGTCCTCACCCCAAACCCAAGTGTGGCCTCTCGTGGCCCCCCACCGGGGCCCGCCAGCCCTGGGGCCATGTTGCCGCATTCCCTGTGTGCCTGTCCTTGCAGCTGCGAGGTGTCCCCAGCCCTTTCAGCGCCCTAACGTTCGTCCTCTGAACACACACTGAGCGCCTGGGTCAGGTGCGGGGCTGGAGCCAGGGCACAGGCAGGGCTGCAGGTTCCATCCCCAATGTGGGGCGTCCAGGAGGCAGCCGATCCATGATTCTCTCTTATCATTGATGTTTCTCTCAATCTCTCTCTCTCTCTCTTTCTCTC